CTGACTCTCTTGACATGAAATCCAGGAGAGGCGATACATAGAGACAGTAACCATGGGAATTGTCCATTAGGGTTCAGGCAGGGAGTGGTGGGGAGCTAACAACGAGGGCACAGGAATGAAGAAATGCTGTAAAATGAACTGCAGTGGTTGCACAACTCTTTCTAATATATTGAAACCGCTGAACTGCATGATATGTGAATTATCTGCCAATAAAACTGTTTTTAAAAAGCCCTAGAGCTTATTCGAAACCTACGGCTCTGAGTTCTTTCAACCACAGTTATGTTTGGTGGTCCTGGGCCAGGTTCCTTCCCGGCCTCCCCCGTTGATAGCCAAAGGGGCTCTGGTTCATTGGTTCTCACTTCCTATTACAGGACACTACCGCGCTGCCCTCTGTTCTACCTGCCTGCTTCCTGCCTGGTGTTCAGGTTTGGCACCTCGGCCCCAAGTGGAGCTTCTCAAGTATTTCTTCTGCAAGGCTTCTATGCCTAGGGAGAGGGAGCCGTTTCCCAGAGGATTCCAGGAGTGGGAGCAATCCCAGTAGATCATCACAAGGCAGAAATGTCTTTGAAGGACCTGTTTGTCTTTATACAACATGTAACCTTTATTTTTATTGCGTAATATATGGGCGTTTGGTTATACGATACATATGGTTTCTCTGCCCCCAACAAGTCTCACGGGTAAAACTGACCCCTTTAACGACTTCTGATGGCCCTCACCACCCACCCCGTGGATAACACCGTGGAAGCAGCGCCGTGCTGAAGACAAGAGGCCGAGAGAGGTCCAGAGAGAAAGCAAGAGCACCCAAGCTGTGCCTGCATGACAAGCCCTCATTCTGTCCCTAAACCACCTGCCCTGCCCCGGCCCAGGCTAGGGCCCAAGAGAGACGCAGGCATCCCGATGTCTTTGGACAGGTGCTAAAATGGCGGTGGCTCAGGAAAAGCGAGCTAAACTAGAGGCCAGGCCAAGTGAGGGAGAGGTGAGAGGGTGGCAGCAGCCAAGTGAGGTCAGACAGGAAAGATTATCCAGGGGCCAGCAAGGAGGCTTGGGGATAGAAATGGAGGACTTAGAAAATGTATTTGCAGAAAAAGAAAGAAAGAAGATGCATTTGCCCTTTACTGTATCAAGCCTGTCTTTATTTTGCTTCCTTTGACCAGCTCTGCCTGAGACTATGGAGTAAAAGCACTAACTTGATGTCTTCAGATCAAGGAGGGAAGTTCCTCTGCAGAAAGGCCGCATCTCTGGCCATAAGAGCGCACAATGAAGAAGTACTACAGCTTCCATCCCTGTCCAAAGGGGACATCATCTCTTCTCTCCCAGATGGAAGAGACCCCAAATGGATTTCCTCAACTTACTTGGGTGTCTTTAATCCTACTTTGATAAAGCAAAGGCAGGTCTAATCAACAATCTCTTATTCCAGAGCTATCAATGCTGCCTGACCGTAACCAAGACTATTAGAGACATGGCTCAGATATGTCAGTCCTTCCTCCACAGTACACTAGGGGAAATGGAAGTCACAAGACAGGAAAATTCAGGAAGCAGGCTTTGGGGAACCTAGTTGAGACTCCTGCGAGGTCAGGAAGCTTAAGAATGGGGACTTGTCTCAGGCTTACTCTTCATGGGGACTTAGCCCCTCCCTGCAGTGCTCAGGCCTGGGTCTGAGAGCCCCCCCCCCC